AGGGAAAGATGTACTGTATTTACACTCTGCAGCTTTGCATGCTGGGATCTCCAAAAGGCCCCTCAATTAACTGCAGAGAGTGTGCTCATGCTCACAGGCTGAGCGTGAGCACAATGTGTGCAGTTCAATTCTACTATAAAAATACTGAAAACATTTTCTCAGCCAGGTTCTTGACAGATCCAGTTTTTGTTAGTTCACATCAGACATTTTCATATATTTGTTCTTCCTTTTCTCAGTCATTTAAAGTGGGCAGGACTAAGTTAGAAATGTTGTTAGTTTGTGCACCATTTAGTGTTAGTGCAATCAAATTGTTTTTAAAAGTTTTTAAGCTCTTAATAAATAATGCCCCAAAATGCTGTCCCCACAAATTTAAAATTATTTACTGCTTATTGAGCCACGGACATTTAAAATAAAAAAATGTAAAAATACATCACACTATGTTGATAGTTGGGATGGGGGCACCATTTAGGGAAGGAGGAATTGTATTTACCTGGATGCATTCTTGTTTTTGTTTAGATTTTTTGCTAAAATGTTGCTTAAATCATGTAGATCTCACTTTACTGACAGTGGTAATTCAGAATGGATAACCTTAGCTAACTGTAGCTAACCTAGAGAGCCTGCCTACGAGAGCAACAGACTGAAAAATGACTCTGCACCCTGATCCCAGCTCTCGGGTCAGGAGTAAACGTTAGCTAGCAGCTGTTGGCAGATTCTGCCTACGAGAGCAACAGACTAATTTCTGTCCTGTCTGTGCTCAAACTGAACAGTAAAGTGGACGTTTGATGGTGTTGAAGCCTCTGTTACTATATGTATGTATGGGATGGTATTTTTATTTTTTTAAATTAACTTATAGATGTATGCCATGTATACAGTATCTCTATGATGGATAATGAGCGTGATCCCCCAAAATGGCCCATTTATTCAAAATTCAACATAGCGTGACGACAACTTTACATTCTCTATAGAGAAACATTAAAGATTTTAATTTTAAAATGTGCCAAGTGCAGCTTTAATAAAGTGGTGATTTCCATCATGAGACAGGGGCATTTCATTTTAGCCAAGCACTGACAACACTAATCAGCTCTTCAGCTCCTCTGTGCTACCTGAGTGCTAGAGGGCAGAAGTTTGAGGAGCCACAAAAGAACAGCACAAACTACAGCTAACTATTTGCAGATCCAAGATCCTCAAACATTTAAATTACTATGTAATGGAAATGTGTTACATGCATGCTCCATTTAAATACACAGCTGCAGATTTCATATACAATGCCTTTTTTTTTTACAAACTTAGCACCAAATAAGTCATATTAAAAGCTCTATAGATTTATTCTGAAATACTGCTGAAGATCTATAAGCAGTGGTACTTGTGACAATTCTAACGAACAGTTACCAGCAATGCAGTGGGTTGTGGGAACATCGCTGAGCATTACAAATGACTCTACTGCTGAAGATCTATAAGCAGTGGTACTTGTGACAATTCTAACGAACAGTTACGAGCAATGCAGTGGGTTGTGGGAACATTGCTGAGCATTACAAATTACCTTTGTGGTGACTTACACTGTAACTTGAGCTAGAGTTTAGCTTACGACGGCCAAGAACTGGAGAGTACACCCAAAATCTGCCTTTTGCATACTGATGGATGGACACACACACAGATGATGAACACACATATGCATATAATGTGCAAACAGAAAACTAAGTACAATTTAAATTGTTATATAACAAAGGAGAAATGGTAAGGAATGATGAGATGACAGAAGTTGTCATTATAGAGGACAGAAAGAAAAGAAAGTGTAAATGGAAAATCACTGTAATAATATAACAATACATTTACCCAAAAGAGGGAATTATGTTCAGCTGTGCATGACAGTGACAGGGTGCAAAAATGCAGACTGACAGATACAAATACATCATGCTCTGGAGGAAAAACAACCCCGGTGTTTAGCTGATGCTTTCAGAAGCATGAACTATGACTGGAAAATAGCATAAAAAAATAAAAATAAAAAGCATTTTGGACAACAAGAGCAACCCTGTAGTACGTGCATATTAGAACACACACACGCAGCCCCCTCACCGTCATAACTCTACCACGCTGTCCTGACTGGGACACTGCAAGATACCCAGTAGATCAAAGAAAAACAGGAGAAGAAGTGTCTTTATTCTCTTTGATGCATTCATAAATTTAAATGTGTCTTTTTATTTTGTCTGTCTTCTGCACTTATCACAGTTCAACACTCATCTCATCCTCAACAAAAAACTAACAAATAAAAATGAAATCATGGCCACAACAGGACTTACAAAGTAGATGTCAGACACCTGCGCCTCCCCATCCAGTGAGTTGTGGCTGCTGGACACAGACAGCTGACTGTGTGATGTGCGTGGCACCTGCTGAGGCACCTGGGAGCTCGGAGAGACAGAGCAGGGAGGCGCCGAGAGGAAATGGTGAGAGGAGTAAGGAGATGCACAGCAGATGGGAGTAAATGTTGAAGCAGGAGGGAGGGTGGAGGTGCTAGGAGCTGACGCGGGAAGTGTGGATTGTGTAGAAGTATGAGAGAGTGGAGATGGAAGGGTGGAAGTAGCTGTGGGAGAGGTGAGTGGTTTGGTGGATGGACAGATGGATGAAGAAAGTGTGGAGGATGAGTGCCCGGCTGAGTGAGCAGCAGAGGAGCAAGGCCTAAAGGAGGAAGGAAGGGTGGAGGAGGAATATGCAGAAGATGTGATGGATGATGCAATGACACGAGGCTTCTGGTCAGGTGACACACAGCTGGGAGAGGTCATTTCTGTCATTTGTGTGAGCTCCATGCTCTTTGGGATTTTACTGTATCAAGAAACAAAGAACACTGTTAAAATACCACTGTGGACATGGCCCTTGTATGGTACCGCTGTATTTGTATGTACCTGAGCTCCACCGCCACCGTTATGGTGTCCTGCTTTTCCTCATGAACCTCAACAATCTCCTTCTGTGACCTGAAAGCACATAAGCAAACACAGGTCAGGAAAAGCACAGAGCACACATGAGCATTAGAATAGTCTGATAAGTGAAATCATATCCCCAGATAGAATATTGTCATTGTACAAATCAAACATTTCATATCCATGTACTCATTCTCACCTGGCCACACCTGGTGAATCTCTTTGTCTCTGGTAGCGTGGGTGCTCTGGTGTTTCAAAGGGGGTGGTCGGAAGAGAGTTGTTAGAGGAGAGCGTGGTAGCAATAGATGCTGTGGTAGCATCTTCAAATGAACGAGGGGTGCAGGGCGGCTCTCTTCCTGAGTGGCGTTATGAAGTAAGACATCATGAGCGACATCAAGGAGAGATGGAAATACACAAAGAAAAGGATTAACAGAGCTTCAGTCCTTTAATACCTAAATTAAATATCGGGAAGCAGATGAGTGTTTGTACCACAGAGTGCTTCAAGTTACCATTCACTTTAGGCACTATCTGGCTGTACAACACTGTCATGTGTGAAGATCTGCCGGGCGGCTCTATACAGCTTAAAACATAGTGCATATGTGAACATGACTTTTATGTATGTTTGCAAATTTGTGCAAGTGGCCTGATTGTACAGGGTTCTCTTTAGTAACAGTCACGTCCCATTCATTTCTTACCCCCATTAGTAAATGTGCATGTGGACAGTAAATAATTGTTTACCTTTGTGTTCATGGTACTATAGGAAGGTAAGGAAGCCACCTATCACTCTTTTATTAATTACAGCGGTGATATTTATGGTACTGCTTCCACATTACACTTTTGTAAAGTGTTTATCCATACACATCTAGTCTTGATTTGTTAAGGTTTACTTTCTGTTGCTGTTGCTGCTGTTTTGCTGTTGCACTTCTATTTCGCCACAGGGATCAATGAAGGTTCAATTGATTTCATTTAAAGAGGAAATGGAGAACTCAGCTGTGAACAATTGAAACTAGCAGTGTGCCAAGTTCAGAAAAACACAGTATAACAAGGAAAAGCCGGCACTCACTAGCCAACTCTTAATTTTGTACTGTTAAGCAGCATTGGCATTTTGCACAGGCATTTCCTCACAACTGAGGGCAGTCAAAGTTGTGAACCACACTCACCCAACAATCCCACAACAATGACTGAGGTGTTTGAAATAAAGCATCCCATTTTCACTGGGAATGAAAAATGACAACCTGAACTCTGTGGACAACTAATTTCTACTTTTATGCCTGTATGTCATGACTACTGTATACCCCATTGTGGACTAACAGAGTTTGCAAGACATCCTACCATTGTCCTCCAGCATGGGGAAAATGCAAGCTCCCCCTAGGTTCTCCAAGTTCTCCAGGTTTTCCTGCCTCTCGTCACCCAGAGAGGGACACTGCCCAGTTGAACCTGTTCCAGCACTGGACTTGGAGAGAGCCCCTCGGCCCTTCTTACATGGAGAGGATCGCAGTGCTGTGAAAGCAGACCATACTTTACTTCCACTTTCCAAAAAGTAAAATGCCCCAATAATTAATATGGAGGAACACTAATTCCTTATTGGTGTCATCAAACATAAGTAGAGGAGTATATAGTTCAGGCACATTTGTAGACTCACAGCAGCTCTTCTTGAACACAATGGTGCTACAGAATTTGTAGAACCTCTCGGCATAGAAACCAGGTCTGTGAACTGACACCGTGTCCTGTTGGGGGGTGCACAATGAAAAAACAGAAAAGATGACACTGTTCAAACACAATCAGTTAAGGTGTTTAACTTATTACATTGTGGGACATCAAACAATAAAATGTGATACTACATAATATGTAAGGTTTGCTTTGCTTGGATACAAGCTATTACATAACAGTTTTGTGAAAGCTACTCACCCCATCATGGATGAGGGACTTCCATGAGTGCTCCAGTTTCTTAATCAGTCTGTCAGACAAGACAATGAAATGATTCAGTTCAACTCATTCATCGACTTAGTGTGGTTACCTAGCGACTCAGGGTTGAGTCGGTGACTACAGTCGCACTTGTTCTTATTAGACCCCTCACACGTGTCCGCTTTATGACATGTCTGCAGCTACCTTTTCTTTATAATCTCTCTTTTAATGTTCCTTGCTGACACATTATGTCTGGATTACTCTCAGCGTGTTACAGCACAAACATGATATCAACTTTCTCAGGAAGTGAAGAGAGGCTTACTGGGTGTACAATTTTAAAAGCCTATATCCAAGTAGAATGAATGAAGATTTTAATATTATACAGCTTTTACAGTAATTTTAGCAGTTTTTAAATATGACTTTACAGGTTTAGAGTCAGAGGTTTAACTAATCTCAGTGCTGTTAACTGCATTAATACTTTTGTGAATGAACCATGTGATGTTTTCAGTCAAGCTTTATTTTGGTGTGCACTTTTATTTTGACACTCCAGGGTTGGAAGGGAAATAGCCTTTGAAGGATGGCTGCATATGGGAAAATCCTAATTCCCTGGTTTGGTTATTCCTCACTTCTTGCTCAACCTGGAAGTCATCTAGCTGAGGATGTTCCAAGTCTCTTATATCAGCTCTGTGGAGTGAGGAAGTTGCTGGAGGAGCCATGAGCTAGGGTACACCAGACCGTCCTTCACAGAAGTCTACTGTGTACCAACAAGAGCTGAATTTTTCAGGTTTAAGCTGTAAAGTACATTTCCCAGAACATCTGATCTAATTACACATTCTCTGAAAGATATGTAGATGTGTGTAGTACTCTTGCAGTCAGTTCTGCTTGTTTATTACGATTATACAAATTATCTAAGAGCTAATATATTAGTTTGCTGATATTACATGACCCAACTTTATAGTTTCTTTAACGTCTGAAGCTTTTGTTGGCTACCTGTAGGACTGCAGAATGTCAATTATTCCGATGAACAGGAGGAGGCACAGATATGAGACCATTACTATCATCAGGGAAAGTAATGTGATGACAAGGGCAGGCAATATCATACAGTGACTTACATGTCATCATGGTCCAGCGTGTCCTTGAATGTTAAGCCTCCCTGTATAGACTCCATGGCAGAGGAGTACAAGGCTCTCTGGGCTGCAGGCCTCTTCTCATCACTGCCTCCTGCAGGAGAGCCCTGAGGCTGGTACTCTCTCTCTGCTTGGGTCTTGTTGTGGATCCCAAGCAACAAACTGTAATCCATAATCTTAAAACTCTCCAGAACCTGACATGAAATATATACATTTTTCAAACTGTTTCCCAGGGCCCTAAGAGAATTACAACATTTTTTTATGTATCTGGTTCATTTCACAGCCAGATGCATGCTGGAAATTAACACATGCATTAAAAAATGCACGAGCTATTATTTTATTCTACCTTTTAACCAACCTGTAATTCATCTAATAGTTGAATACTTAATTTGGGGATTGCTATGCTACGTTTTAAAAATAAAATAAAATGCACAGTGTTAATCTACTTTTGCAAAAAGCTGTTCATCCACCTCCTCCCTCTTGTCTCTCTCACCAGACAGTCTCGCTGCAGAGTTTTGACCAGAGCGCTGTATGTGTCCTGGTCCAGTGTGAGGCCATCAGGAACATCACTCAGAAAGTCCAGATCTTTAAAAGTGGGCTTGGTCTTCTCTCTTTCCTTCTTGGAAGCTTGCCTCTTGTATGTGGAGCCCTTCAGATCAAATTTGAGGTGCATGCGCACAGAGCGTGGTAGTATATTGTTCATCGCAACAACTCTGATATTCTTGCCACCACACTGGACACAGTAGAGGCCAAAGAACTTTGGCAGCAATGTCCGAGGGTTCTGGTTCAAGTTCTGGGATTAGGAAGGCACAGCAGATATAGGAATGGAGACAGGGAGAAATACAGAAATATTAATTTGAGTTTATCTTTTGTCTATGTGTTTGGTCTCACAAACAACCACCTGCTATTCAGAGTGACTCACCCACAGGCCTTAGTCTGTACTAATGTATCTCTACTTTGTGCATGCTTAGCCTGTTGGAGCACTTAGCCCGGGTCTCAGTCAGGTGTAACCTCTCAGCTCTTATCTATTTCAAAGCCACCTGCTGACGTCACTGCAGACTGGGGCCAACACCAGGCGAGAGGATAAAGGGGATAAAGAAGTCCAGAAGTTTCAGCTCACCCCCACACATCCAAATCTCTTAATAGACTTACTGTTACAAAACCTACAGAACGACATAGGTTCTAAGTTTACAATTCTTCCCAAGTGTGAATGGTAATTTAGTAGTAAATAAACATTTGCTTAGATAAGCATCTAAAATTCTAAATTTACTCATTTTCCAAATTCATCACCTGTGTTTGAACTATTTATACTAAATCTTAATATTTTGCAACTGAAATAAATCTGACGAGTGAGTGGCTCACTCTGACTTACCATATAGTATCCAGGAAGCAATTTCTGAAGAAACTCAGCCTCCTTGTGCTGCACAGTTTTGATGATGAACTCATCATCATGTGTTACATAGAATATGGAGCCACTAGCTCCTGGGTTTGTCAGCTCAATCAGTGGTTCATTACATAAAGAATACTAGACAGAGAAAAGATACAGAGGAACAAATGTAGATTAGAATATAAACTGGTTTTGCTTTAAGCCTGACTTAAAATCCTTGAAAAGACTGTTTCAACCTACAGTACAGCAGCCATAAACGCAGACGTTATTTATTTATTAAGCTTGCTTGCATGTTTTGAAGGACCCTCTGGCAAAGAAGTTCATTGAAAATGTCATTAAATGTCATTTGTGAAATGTTGTTTGCTTCACCCAAGTTTGTAATTTCATCCTAAGGGCTGCATAGCGCTCTTAATATTGGATCCAACAGAGCTTTCAAATAAGCAACCAAAAGACTAATATATCTACCCACTCACATGGCATTCTCATCAGCAGCAAAGAGGGAACTTTGGTTTAAAAGGGCAAGTGTGTGGGTGGGAGGAATAACACATCTAGACTATTAGGAGTGTAAACTGCACTACATTATGACATTTATGCCTCAACATAGTATTAGTAACCCCAGTAAAGTTACTGCAATCACTGGGAAAATGCTGCTTTCACCAACTTCATGCTGGGGCTGAATACTGTATGCCTGCCAGGAACTATGTACAATATCAAAATGCACATGTAGCAGCTCAACTTTAATACTCACGTGTTTAAATTTGTACTGAATCCATGACGTAAAGCCTTAGGGCTTTGTACATAATTCAATCAGTTTAAATTAGACAGCACTCAGAGAGTGCAAACCTCAACCAAGAGTAAAGCACTTTCCCCATAATGCCATAAAATCAATATTCCCATGATAGTGTGATCCTCATAATATGATTGCTTGACCATGAAAACCTACTGGAATTTGGAATGACACTGCTATCATTATTAGTTTGAAGGTTATTCAAGAAAAACAGACCTGACAGACATTCAACCATTGGTTTAGGGGTAAAACGGGGATGTCAGTGAGTGGACGCAGGCAAAGTGATGAAGACATCACATTTTTGCAAGCTTGCATTCTGCCTGCTCAACAGCAGTTTGATAAATTGCTCATATTCTCTCTGTTACTGACTGATTGCTACACTATGGAGTGATCCTTCACATCCTCTGCTCAGCTGTGTGTGTGTGTGTGTAAGAGGAGCTACCTAACTCCTTGTAACAGAGACCGACACAGGAAAAAGCACAGTGGAAAAGAAAAGTAGGACGGTCTGTGTCAACCCATGAGGTTATGCCAGGTGACGGTTAAGTGAAGCACACAGCATACTGCTCATTAGGTTCCAGCCGTGGAAACACAGCTACTAATGTGCAGCTAGAACACTGGCATCCTGCCGCTGCATAGAGTAGCTCTTTTCTCAGCTCTGGGCAAACATTTCACTTCCACTGCACTTCATATTATTCAAATACTCAGGATACATCAAGAGTCATAAGAGAATACAAATAACTCACTAGGTAGTCATCTGGCCGAATTCCAAACAGCTCTCGGAAGTAGCGGAAGGCCACTGGAGCATAGGTTTTAAACCTGAAGTCTGGGAAATGGTGGGCTGGCGTGAGGTTGCTGCCTTCACTGTGTGGAGCAAGGCGAGATCAAATGGAGAGTAATAGAAGATGAAAAATATATTAGGAACTTGCCACACACAGTTGAGCATGAATATGCACCCACTCACAAACACGTACTTTGGGAAGAAGATGCTTTCAACCACATAGAAGTCCTGCATCAGCACATCTCTCTCAGGCTTGGAGCTGAGGTTGCCAACAGTATATCCAATACCCAGCTGGATGGCCCCTTTTAAGGCAGAGGAGGTGGTCTGGAGGCAGACACCAGAAAAAAGAACAGATACGGTATGGGTGAAAAGTTGAAATCGTGACGCCATGCAAACCCACGGGCAGTATTTAAGGCAAAAAGAAAAGGAGAAGTCTACCTTCTTGTAAGTTGTCTCCCCAGAGGCATCTACCCTCCTGTGGCCAATTTTTTTCTCATAGGCTGTGCCTGCTCCAAATGGGGACGGCATCTGGCATGAGGCAAGATGTGATACAGATACTAGTGCATAAATCATATATTGCTTTATCAGGGAATTTAACCTTGCAGCAAACCAATAGTGAAAAAAGAATGGAAAGAAAAGAAAGCAACAGAGAGACAATGTGTATATGGTGATGTTGCCTCTCACCTCAGTTAGCTGAGTCTTCTTGGGTGAATCTGTGGATAGAAACAGAAGGAGAAGGTGCAGGAGAAATAGGTTTAGAAGTATCTGCAGAACATTATTTAGCATGATTTAGCAGAGAATGTCAACTTAGGCATCAGATTCATACTTGAGGGGATGATTGTTAACCAGATAAATTTAAGTCACCAAAAAATGACAGCGTTCATACAATATAACTCAACCTCTCACTGGGACATAGGTGTAGCATTACATTAGCCCACCTGACACCTTTAAAACAATGAATACCCAACAAATCCAAGACAAGCAGTCATCTAGATATAATATCTATAGCCTATATGATGGCCCAAATATCACATATAATTCTATGACAACTGGAAAAGCAGCTGTTCCTTTAATTTAAAAGCAAAAGTGTACAAAACATTTACTGCCCTGCATAGAGCTAAAAGCTAATTCTACATCATCTTTCATACAAATTGAACTTATTAACCCCAGTTCCAAATAAATTGGTGGTTAACTCACCAGCAGAAGCGTTCAGTGTCTACAGGCTAGAGGTTATTTAGCATAAACAAAACATGCATCAAAATTCATGGGTAAAAAAAGACAAAGAAAAACTGACATTCAGTGGTCAAACCACTGCAGTATGCAGTCAGTGTTTTCTATTCCTGGATCAGTGAGATTTGTAGCGAGAAGGTAAAAACTCTATTGGATTGACTCCCTGCCTAATCTGAGTGTTGTCATTGGCTGAAGTCTCAAGATCACATCACCAACCAGTCACACAGAAGGATTAGTACGATTCTCTCCAACCGACACAACTGTACGTGTGTGTGTCTGTGTATAGAAGGGGGTGAGAGAGCAGGAAGGAAAGAAGGAAGCGAAAGGGAGAGAAGAGACATTTCACAGTACAACACAGTACGGCAAACTGCCTGGATTTCATCACCATGCTAAATTTCAGGGAACATTTAAGGAAGTGCTTCTGTCAGAGCAGGGATAATGAATCTTTAAGACATGTTAAAGCGCACACTGTAGCACATGTTGCTGTCATTAAGCCACAGCAGAATACAATAATAGTTCATGTACTATACTTTACATGTTCATATACTGCATAATAATTACCTGTGCAATATCCCCTCATTACCCTACTAAGTAGAATGCCATATACAATTCCACTAGGTGCAATATCATGTGCAATATTTGAAACTCCCCATTTTACCTGATACCTTCCTCCCGTATCCACAATTTTATCAACTATTTTGTATTCATGGGTATTCTAGTTTGTTGTATTTTGCATTCTTTTGTATTCTTGGGTAATCTTATATTTAGACTAGATGTTCTTTCTTTTGGTTTTAAACTCTTTACTTGACTCCAGGAGAGCCCTGCACAAGAATTCCTATATGCCTAGACTGACTGTTTATGCATAAATGGCAAATAAAAATCTTGAATCTTCGCACTGGTGGGTCAGTAGATGCAAACTAATTACATGAATCCTCTAATCTTAACTATCAGAAATTGAAACTAACATGCAGCATATTTGACTTAAAATCCCAACAGCAGTAAAGTAGTAAAGACATCTGGCACAATGAGCCCAAATCTTGAGATGCTTTACAATTGCAATTGCATGAACAATAAAAGAATCTACAGTCAGGCTAGTGACTCTGTGAGAGGGTACTTAGACACAACAATGCTTATGTTAAATGCTAACATCAATATGCAAACACTCTCACAATGACAATGTTAACAGGTTTAGCAGGTCCAAAGAATGTGAAGGTACATCACACCATGCTGAATGTTGGGACCGAGGTGCCGGTCTTCAAGGTATGTGCTGTAAATGCATACCTTCTTGTTGTGTTTGGCTAAAGGTTTGCTTATTTTAGATCTTACTTCACTGACTGTGGTAATTCAAGTTGGATAACCTTATCTGACTGTAGCTAACTCAGATCAGACCTATTGATCCTGTCTACGAGTGACAGACTGAAAAATGACTCTGCACACTGATCTCAGTTCTCGGTTTAGGAGCTAACACTATCTAACAACTGTTGGCAGATAAGACAAATACTAAATGAAATTCTGTCCTGTCTGTGCTCGAACTGAACACTAAAGTGGACATTTGGACGTAGTTGAAATACCCACTACTGTATGTAGCTGTATCGAGCAGCATTTTTAAAAATTAACTTATAGATGTAGGCTATGTAGTGTATGACTGATAATGAACATGATGGCCCAGACATGGTGCATTTAATCAAACTTCAGCATGGCATCAACTTCACATTCTCTATAATGTTAGCAGGTATCATGATCATTATTTTAGCATGTTGGCATGCTAATATTTGCTAACTATTACAAAAGAACACAAAATATAGGCTGAGTGAAATATAAGAATTGCAGCTCTTTGGTCATAAACCAGTGTATTAGACAAATTAAATTTCTGATCACTTTTGATGGCACTAGATTAAAAAAATCAGGGCATGTTACATTTCATTATGGGAAAACAAATCTCAGTTCATCCAATAGTTATTTAGAAATTTGACTCAAAACAGCAAATGGCAACCTCATGGTGGCACAAGAGGAAAGGTCAGGGGTTAACAAGAGTCATTAAAATTCATTCTTTGTGTCCCATTACTATTAGTCACAATTCATGCAATACATGCTGACATATTTACTCTGGACCAAAGTGGTGAACTGACTGACAAACACCCACAGTGCCACATCCCTAGAGCCATGCTCCTAGCAGGAAAAAAAAACTGTGAATGGGAAAACAAAACATTGGAGAATGTTTTAGTGCAGAGGTAGACAAACTGTTTAACATGGAACTGTACAAATAAGAATAATCATATAATAATTTAATTGGTTTCTTTCTCTTTGGGCCTTACTGTGCAGTGACAGGACACACATGGCCGCTCACCCCTGTAACCTGCTGATTAATTTTGCATCAAAGCCTGTCAGGCAGAACAATGAGGTGTATCCTGAGGCAGGCAGAAACACAGAGCGTCTCTGTGGGATTAGGGTCAGGCCATAATAAGGTGCCACTGAGCTGCAAGCAACAAAGAGGACAAACTCACTGTAGCATTTCTATTTATTACCTACTACTACCTGTAAGACCACTACTATTGAATGTGTTAGTATTAAAAGACTAAGGAAATGCACACACCGAAAGCTCACCTACTGTAGGTATTCCTGTAACAACACATTAAGTCAGTGTTAAAGGAGTATGCCTTGAGGCTTGTGCATGTAAAGAGGATTAGATGTCTCCCTTATTATCAGAAAATGGCAGCCTGTTGCTGTGACATTAGTGTGACACTAAACACAGGGGCAGATTTTGATGCCCTGATGCTCTCTACACACAAATCTAGAGGACTTAATCATGTGTACACAAACATCCAACATAACTGAGCATGTGACAATGAATATGCAAAACTTGTTGGACCTGTTAAATGGATGAGCATGTGCTTTCTTTCTGTAACATCTGAACACAGCAGCATAAACCTGTCATGCATATTTGCAGCCACAACATCACAGCAAAGCTTGGAACTGATACCCACAAGGGATAGTGTGTGTGGTTATGTTAGAATTGAATATCTGATGTAAGGAACTCTTCAGAGTTAGCTAGGAAGAGGGGAAGACAGAGGTTGAGGAAAGAAGCAAAATGTAGGAAAATGATGTGAATCACATGCTGTGGTCTTTGCAGTCACCAGATCTCAACCCAGCTGAACAGCTATGGGAGATGTTGGACCGACGTGTTAAACAGCGTCTCCACCACCATCATCAAAACACCAAAGGAGGGAATATCTTTAGGAAGAATGGTTTTCATCCCTCCAGTAGAGGCCAAAGACTTGGTGAATCAATGCCAAGGTGCACTTAAGCTGTTCTGGTGGTACATGTTGGCCCAACGCCTTGCTAAGACTCTTTATATTGATGTTTTCTTTAACTTGTCAGCTGTCTGCAGCTCCACACTCACTGAGGTAAAATAAAACATCCCACAGCAGCTTATAACATCAGGTCTTGCAGGACTGGGCGTATTCACGCATAATGTGCACCTTGTGCTTTATCAGCCTGCAGTGAGCCACTGACATTAGGGGACATTTAAAACAGAGCAGTAGTGACTGGATGCTGTTACCTACCCAAACAATTTATTATCCATTTCCACAACTTAGGTTCCGCCATCTACTATTTTTGTATTTGCCCTTGTGGAATTTTTTTTTTTTTTGCTTAATTACATTCATGTATAAATGTATGGTAGGGTGCTACCCACTTAGATAAAACTTCCTAAGTATAGTGCACCTGCTGTCACCTACAGGTGAAGTCCACCAAAAAGACGGGACTATCTGTCGTTTTTGTCTCTGCCTCTTATGGCTAACTGAAAGACATACGAACCGCTGTCCCCCACGTCAAGCTGCGGACAAATGCTGGTGGATGCTTCCTGGCTAGCAGCCCCGTCATCCCCGATTTCCGCAGTCCTCCCGTCCATCTCCCGGACGGTTCCTGAGGACGCGCAGCCGTGTTCTACCTCAGTGAGACTGAGATGCGGTGGTACGCGCTTCGAAACAAATTTTAAACATGATCATTTCACCTCCTTTTATACTTACTACTGCAGTTACAGACTATATAAGTCCACTAATGTGTATTTGTCGCTGTACATTTCCAAACGCAGGGACACACGTCCAGATCCAGCGGTGTTGATCATCTCTGCTGCTGCTGTACGTCATCACTCTCACGCAACAGCTGATGCGCGGCCTGCCGCTATAGCGTCATTCTGCTCCGCTCACACAAGTAAGGGCATCAAATCCTGTAGGCTAGGATATCAGAGCTCTGGGGTGGAGAAGCCATTTTTGACTTTTTAAATTTTATAACAAGGCTCTGCAATTAATGGAGGCTCCAGCAGTTTGGTATCAACGGATTTCCAAACACATAATCCCAGAAAATGGACAAATAAAATATAGTTAAGCTATGATGGGGAAAGAAATCCACCACAAATGACTTGAGTATTATACACCAATCAGGTATAATATTATGACCACTGAGAGGTGAAGTGAGTAACACTACCTGTTACAGTGAACCTGTCAGAGTGCGGGATATATTAGGCAGCAAGTGAACATTCAGTCCTCAAAGATGTGTTGGAAGCAGGAAAAATGGGCAAGTGTAAGGATCCAAGTGACTTTGACATGGGCCGGACTGTGATGGCTGATGACTGGGTCAGAGCATCTCCCACGCTGCAGGTCTTGGTGGGTGTTCTTGGTCTGCAGTGGTTAGTACCTACCAACAGTGTCTAAGGAAGGACAGATGGTGAACTGGTGACAGGGTCGCCCACGGCTCACTAATGATGAGGTTGCCCTACTTTAGATTAAACTTTTAACTTCCATTTGGTCTGGTCCCTATGAAGAGAAAGAGTCAGGGGCTGTAGTGGTGATATCACACCTAGAGTGGCGAGGCTGTTGAATTTGTCTATTAAAAATAAATAAATAAAAATTCTCTGTAACGCGTCCTCACAACCACCGTTTTCACTCCTTTTACACAAGTTTTTCCACTGAATTGTAGACACATCTGTGCTCTTCCCGACAGTAGAACTGTGGAAGCAAATGGATTCACAGAAGATGCACAGGGAGCTGCAGTGACACAAAGTGCCAACCAACTGTCGCAGACTCGTATGTAAACAGTATTAGACAGGTGGTCCTAATGTAATGGCTGGTCGGTGTACATCTTATACTCTGAACTAAAGAGGCCGTCGCTGTGCACATGCACACAGCAGAGGTGGAATGACTGCAGCACTAAGTGTCCATGTTCAAATTCAAAATACAACATTTGTATATAGGTAAGCACACAGTTCAGCATATATGACAATAACAGATCCATAATTTAATATTTATGTTGATGCAAGTACCTGCTCTTTACTACATACTATAGTTCTTTTGGGAAATTTATATACAAGAATAACTGGCCCATAAAGATTTAGGACATACTGTGCAAAACCCATTAAACCATTGATGACATTATGCTTTTGTAAAATTCTACAAGCCAAAATTAAATTAAGTGGGTACCTAGCGTCATACTGACATAACGTAGCCTACTTCAGACTTTAAGGCATTGCATTTCCTTCCTTAGTAGCGAGTAAGATAAAGCATTACTGACTTAAACCACATTTTAATATGTTAAAATTTTGTAATGTAAATTCTTGCAAGATGAAAAACGATATACTGTGCGCATGCATATATATATTTTTTATATACACACACACACACACACACACACACACACACACACACACCCCTCAAATAAGAGTCCATTATAGAAACCAATCACAAAGTCAGGAGCTGAACATTTAATAAGTGCATCTAAATTGACAAATCAGTGTCAAGGACAACACATATTTTCCAATTTCATCACATAATAAGCTGCAGTACAATAATCAGTCTCTTGGTGACTTAAATGCAAACAGTAATTTCAGTAGCATTATAGATGTATGCAAAATTTATAGTGTCCAGTGTTGTTAGATCAAGCTAACGTTGACATTTTCACAAACTTGTCTCATTAGAAAGGACATCTGCATAAGGAAGAGGAATGGCTGTTGCATGGTTGAAATAAGGTGTGAAGTGTCTGCTCTAGTTAACTCAAGCCCTCCCATATGGTCTTACAGGGTTTGGTGTCTGTGGGCTCTGGAGGTTAGTTGCACGCCAAGGATCATCAGGCCTGCCTTCCCCAATGTTGGGTTTACAGGCAGGCCGTCACTGGTCCAGACACACACACACACCAATACCCTGAAGTCCATGAGGAGGTCAGAAGTCAAACATATGGAAGAAAGTAATATTTAGAGGTACGTGGGGAGGTCCTTCTCCACCGCCTGCACAGAGAAACAAGTACAAAATTACTACAAAACTGAATATAGTGAAGATAAAAAAAAGCTAAAGTTTAAACAATAGATTCATAATTAGCAGTCCCTCTATTCTTTTTATAGTCTTCTTTAACTCTAGATCAGCATAAATTTTTAACTAATTAAAATGACAGGAAGCAATTACATGCACCAGTATTATACAAAAAGGTGCCACATCTCACAGCGGGTACATCAACATTATTATAACCACAGTGAGTGCCACTTACACTGGGATCCTCTGTTGGACCATATCTCTTCACCACTTGTCCTTCTCTGTTTATAAGAAACTGTTGAGGAATAAGAAAATATTAGCACAAACAAATCTCTACACAAACAATTTTCCCTGCTATAGAAAGGCTTAGGTGCCAACACCTGAATGGTTTTGTGGAGCACCTCAAGCTGAATGAACATAAAAGGCCTTTAGACAGCATATCAGAATGAACGTACAATATAAACAAAGAATTCTATGTGCTAAAAGGAAAAAATAAAGAACAGACTGTTGACTGCATGTACAATACATGTTGCCAGCTTTCATTCTGAAATATTGGTCCAAAAAAAAAAAAAGAAAAGAAAAGCTAAAAATTTCCTTTGAATGATTGTCAAACTCCCCAGCCACAACCTCCTTGACCTAGACCGCACCTAAGCCCTCTGAAAACCAACATACACAGTATGTAAAACAACAAATATAAGCACAACTTACTAAAATATGCTTTTTCTAAAAGGAGTACCATTTGTATTACCTTTGTGAAGTTCCACTTTATATTACTGTAGAGAGAGAGAGAGAGAGAGAGAGAGAATGTATTATAGCATAGCCTGCAGGCATTATCACACAGAGTGCCGTTTCGCCCCTTATGAGACGGTGCGTATATTCAGCTTTACTTCACATGAATTACACCGGATCCCAAATTCTTCAGCTACTGATAGAGGAACTTTCTCATCCCACTCCTGCAGCATAATCCACCTCTTTGCTTTCCATTTGTTTGAAATTATAAATATAAAACATATCAAAAATGATTTGGCCTCTACAGTTTGACAAAATTAGATACCACTGCATAACTATGTTACTCAAAGAAAATGTCACCTAAGAAATAGGGCCTAATACATAATGTGCTCGGATGAATTAATGTTCCACTAAGGCCTGCTCTCATTTGTTTACATTATGTCATGAACTAAGCACAAAAGTAGAACAGTGACTCACTTTCCCAGGGTCCCTCTGCCTTTGGGCTGTGCCTTCATCCACTTCCAAAGAGGGTGAGCATTATCTCCATTCACCTCAATCTTACTGAAGAGGTCAAACTCAGCATTATAACCTTTGGCAAACTCTTTAATCTCTGCTTCAGTCCCTGGCTCCTGGATTACATCAACAAAATTCAAAGACAGAAATTTGGAAATATGCTAAATAATTATTACAGAAAAATGACTGGATTATGAAATTTACCACAGCTCTATGCTTTAAAATCCATCTTACATGCTTGTTTAAATTAAATGGTGCAAAAAGGAATCATTCTTTAAATGATGCATCTAGCAAGAAAATCTTATTTGAAAAGAACAGAGGAATGAAGGAAAGGTTTAAGACTCAGTTCAAGGGTCATGTGTCATTTAACTAGCAACATGGACAATGTTGATGTGATACAGCAAAATAAATACATGTGAAATGCTCGTTACCTGTCCTCCAAACTGGTTGCATGGGAAGCCCAGGATGCGTAAACCTTTATCAGCATAGGAGGCGTGCATTCCCGCTAGCTGAGTGTAGTTTACTTTGGTCTTTCCTCATTTAGAGGCTACATTTACTATGATGCACACAAATCCCCTGGTGTGACAAAAAAAAAGAAACAAACATGAGCTTAAACTGAAAAACAATCTGCAAACTACTACTGTCAAATTTATAAAGTACATAAATGACAGCTCCAGGAAATATTTCTCTGTGTGCTGGATACTGAGTGAAAGTACTTAAATTCCTTAGCCTTTTTAAAGCCTATAAAACACGTGATTTCTTTTACCTGTATTTCTCAAGTGACACCTCATTGCCATCAATATCCTTGGCAGAGAACTCATAGATTGACTTGGCACTCTGCCAGTCGTCCACCTGAGCACACTGCATGAAGGGGACAGAGAAAATTGAATATAAATGCATGTGTGACTGAATAGCACAACTAAAAGCTTGAAGCTAAAGTCCATGAAAGCGAATCAAAGGGTAACCGTAAGTTCAGGCCTACGAACCAAACAAAATGAGCCTGATAAATGGGAGGAAATTTAAAGGCAGATAACCACTGCTCTTACCGATACACAACACACGTAACGTTTACCTGTTCTAACTCATGTCCCCACCCTTGAGTTTACACACATAACAGGTTTTGACTTAACCAACCCACACGTCTGTATAATAGGATTACACAACAGTGCATCTGAAGTTAATTATCACTCCGCTTTTATTGTATTACCATGAATTGAGCAACTAACGGCATTTCCAACCACTGTACAGCACTAGCTAACGTTAGCTAGTAACACGACTCCTGCTGGCGTAACAGAAAAAAATAATATTTATATTTTTTGACTTAAATTTACTACAGTATATTCGACATTAGAGTCAATCTACAAGGGTAACTCGTTAGTATCCGTCCTTAGCCCTCTAAACACGAGCATCATGACTCGGGGTTTTTGCAGAAAGTTAATGTCAGTAACTGCGACATTTGGACCCATCTCTCCTTGCACAACATTTGAAAACAGAAGCCTTAACTCTGACCTACATGTTTCAGCAGGCAGGCAACAACAAGCATACATAAATGTTAAGCCCACAGGCAACACAAATAAAAAAGACGCATAGTATCGTGTTCTATATACTTACCATGGTCCTCAGTACCCCTCTGCTCCCCAACAAACCTAATAGCACTGACGTTCTCTGAAGCCACATTATAACCGCAGCGACACGGACTTCCGCTATCACGTGATATGTAGCCCCGCCCTCTGAGGAACGGCGCTGCACTGCACCTCCGAACACAGCAGTCTCTCTGAATCAGTGGCGGGTTTTATGGGTGAACCGGGCTTTTGTTTCATGACACGTGGGGGGCGGCACGAGCACTTGAAAAGAACATAATCTGCGCCGCTAAGCGGTTTTCTATTATCTATCATATGTGGCGCCCCTGCTTGATGAGAAGGTGCCGCGCACAGAAGCTGTGTGAGAGTTGGAAAGGGGAGTAGAGAGGAGGGAGCGCGGGCGAAATGGCTAATAAAAATAGGTAATACAAGGTGAATTGTTTTAGTCTTGACTTCTGGTTGTGAATGACAGTGTTGGGGGATGGGAAATCTGTTGATTGTCTATTGCAAAAAATAAAAAATTCAAAAACTGATTTGGACAGTAGAGAGCTTGTGCAGGAAATCAAGACCTTACCTCACCTCCCATCAAACACCATGAGCCTCCTTGAGCTCAACACTTTTCTGCAAGTTAAGGATCTATCAGAGATCTACCCTAACTTTTGGACTGCTCTCAGGATTGCACTTACTCTGCCAGTCACTGTGGCTCAAGCAGAGAGGAGCTTTTCAAAACTGAAGTTGATCAAGTCATACCTGAGGTCAACCATGCCTCAGGAACGGCTCACTGGCCCATCAGTATCAATCACTCAATAGAGGAGCAGATTTTGTATGTTGACATTATTGATAATTTTGCATCAAGGAAGGAAGGAAAGGTCAGATTTTAGTTTTAGTTTGTGTTTTCTGATAGTGCAGTGTAATAATAAGATTTTCTTTAGTGTGATTTGTGTGATGAAGGATTTGTGCTATTTAGAATATTTATTCTATATTTTATTTGTATATTATTCTTAATAGTTTATATTATTGTTGTTCTCTGCTCTTGTTATATTCTGATTGTACATATTTTTGACACTTTTTTGTATGCAGAGTATATTTATTTAAGTTCTGATAACATACTGTTTTGTGCAGAAGTGTGGTTTTCAAATCGTTATGGTTGAGTCCCATAGGACTCAAGTTTGCAGACCCAGGTGCTAGTGAAAAAAAGTGATTTAATGGTGGCAACACAAAGTAACAGCGATATACATACGACCAGGTTTGGACAGTACAAAAAACAGGGTAGGGCAGAGACGGCTGAGGAGACCAGGACGAACAGGTGAGTAGACAAACTAACCAGGAAGATTGGCGAACGAAAAAGAAATCCACAGCACAGGAACTGTCAGCATGGAAATCAAATAATGTATAATGAAAACACATAGGACCAACGTACAAAAAGAAATCCACAGCATAGGAACTGTCAGCGTGGAAATCCACAGCATAGGAACTGTCAGCGTAATCCACAGCATAGGAACTGTCAGCGTGGAAATCCAAAAGACGTATCTGTATACATAATTAGGTATTTAGTTATTTCAGTAATGCTCCGGCAACGACGGAGCGTCTGCCAGAGGTTTGAAAAAGGAGGAAGGTGATTAACGGAATGCGGCTCAGCTGTGTGCAATACGCAAACAAGTCACTGATTACTGAATGCACCACAGCTGAGGCGCCAAGCTTGCAGGACGAGAGAACAGGGGAGAGAAAGGCGGAAGAGAGGCAGGTTGCGCCGACCTGACACAAATGTTCTATTGAAGGATTTGTGCAATTGAGAAAGAAGTTTGTCTTACACTTATATTGTTACAGTAAAACATCACTGTGCAAAATTTAGTGTTTTTTTTCCTTTGAGGGGGGCCTCAGAGGGGGGTCTCGCTCTGGGAGTAATTCAATGTAGAATCGCCACTGCTCTGAATCGGGTTATATTTTGATTTCAAAGATTTTTCGACACATATCTGTTTTTAGCTTTTGCAATTCCTTTTTGAATTGAAACACTTACAGTTCAACCAGAAATAACACATTTCTGCCCATCTGGGGGCAGCAGAAACAGATTGTGAATATAATCTCCATTTTTTATGATGAACTTCAAACAGACACTCTTCCAGCAGTTACAGTAAAGTTACAGTTACTTGATGAATGTAAGTCCAATGTTCACTCTCTCTTAACTCAGTTTTCCCCCTGCCTGCTGAGTGTGTAGTGTAGGCCTATACTGGGTTATAGTGGTTACAGTGTACATGAAAATATATTGTAAGTTATCAGACTGCTAATTAAAGGTCTGTAACAGACTTTCTTCCATTTTATACAGTAGCAGCCTTGTGAGGTGTGGTTTGTGTGCAGACACTCACTGCAGAGGAAGGTTGTGATAGGAATAGGCCTACTTGATGAATATGAAATTTGATGTCTAAATATGTAATAGGATAGCTGCAGCTGCTTTGCAAGCATTTACAGCTACAGAGAGCAGGTGCATACACACCAATATTTAAGTACAGGCTACGCATGCACACATTTTTGCCCAGTATATCTGATTATATAAATGTCTGCTCACTGTCTTACTGTCACACTTCAGCTAATAATGTGTGACAAGGAGGTATATAAATATAAGCATATTAAAATGCATACACATTTCTTTGTGTAGGTAATAGGAAGTCGGGATCCTATGAACCACTGTACACTGGATATCCAGACTTACTCAGCAGGTATACACATACAAAAATGAAGATACTTTATTTTTTTAACTGATGAGGGTCGATTATTCTATCTAAAAATAGAGCAGAATTTGTATGTAAAATACAAAATAGCGTAAGTTAAGAAGCTATAAGGGTATTTTAGATTTACTGCATTCCAAATCTGATCAGCCTTTTTCCTCTTACTTTGGCATATTTAATTTGGCATGTTTTATTTGTTTTGTACAGCACATTGGTCAGGGCATGCTGAGATAAAACATGTTTTAGAAATAAAAGGTATTTAACATATGAAAGAAAATCTAAGTGGCCAATTCATTAGCATTTAAGGGCTACATCTGCTGCGATGCACACAAACCGTCTAAAATAGAAAAACAGAACAAACAAGAGGTTAAACAGAAAACAATTCTGTAAACTACTACTGTCAAATTTGCATAGTACTATACACATGGCAGCTGGAAGTTATCAAAGCTGTACTTTCATTGTTATTTCAACAGATGGCAGTGGCTAACTGTAGGGAAGATTGCTGTACTGTATAGCATTCACATTCATACCTACATGAAACTTTATGTATGTTGAGAAAGGGGGATGAGCTTTGGATTAAAGAAAAATGTGACTAAGATTCTGTAAAGACTGAAGGCAACTGTGTGGAGACTATGGCAGAAATTAGTTCACTGCACATGATAACATAATGCTAACCTGTAGAATCTAAGAGTGATTAGCTGATCTCTGTGTCTTGTGTTGCTCATACTTTCTTTGTTATGGTTTTGTTTTTACAGATAAAGTGAAGTTAAACCAGTCTGATGAGTTGGACATGCTTTCCTCTTATACACAAGTTTATTCAAATCCTCAGAATATTGTTCATTTTTACTCTACCTAAATTAGACCAAGGACGTTCCACTCATTTTCATGTCCTTGCTCTGGGACATTGCTGTGAAATGGACTCCAGTGGCCTGACGTCAAACTGGTGCCACAATTAAAGTCCCCATGTAACAGCATTTTGCTTCTTTAATTGGATGTATTCCCTTCTGAAACTTTGGAGTGGGACATAGCACACAGAGGAACCATTAAAGGTGTAAACCAAGTGGTTATCAGTTGAGGTAGAGGAAAGTGAATGGTTTATATATGGATTCTGATTTTCACTTGCACACTTTGAATTACTGCAAGTTAAAGTGTCAGTATAGCTTTAAGCATGAAGATGTTTCCGGAGGAGATACATAAGAAGAAGTTACACTTCATTTCTTGGGAGACTTAAATTCACCATTAGAAATTATATTTACATTTCTTTTCAAACACAGCTAATATATTTAGATAAATTTGTTGACTTGTTGTCCCTGGTGTTTCGACACAAGCATTCAGTGTCCGATATTTAAAACATTACATTAACTAAAACCAAATTAATTAAATTATTTTAACATATAATGTTAATTAAAGCTGCAGACTAGGTGCAAAATATCAAACACATGTAAAAAAGTAATCCAATCATAAAAGACAACAGTTGTACAATAGTTCAAGATGCAATCCACATTCTCCCAGAGAATACTATCTAGCATTCATTGTTTAGTCTTTGTCCAGCTGCATCATAATGTTATGTCAGATCTCCTTCATGAAGCTATTTTATAACATGACATTTTATTGAATTGCTAGTGACTCAACAAATTACAAGTTTGGTGATATGTCAGTGCAACATATCATCTATTCCTGTGGTAAAGTATTTCTAATTAAATATTACTTTGAGTGACCTACAGTAGAGTAATGTGTTATTTAAAGGATGAGATGGACCTATGCTTTACATGAGTTTATTAAGTACAGTTTTACATGTTATTAGATCATCACTGAAGGTTTAGAAAAAGTAAGTGATCTAACCAACCCTGACATGCTGTGCTGCATTGCACTGTCAGAACTTTGAAGGCAAATTCCCAGCATAATTAAATGGAGGCTACTGGAATGTGATTGGGTGATGTGGAGGTCATGTCTTCTGAGGAAGAGGCTGTTAATTAGGGTACAGCAACACAAAATCTGCTATAGGTTTCCACCTGATGCATCTCGTTTAAATCCTATAATTAAACATCTCGCATATAGCCAATTAAATCTCAAATCACAGGGGTTCTACTGTGAAAAACATCAGTGCAACCAACGCAGTATGTGTATGTGTGGAGGAGTACAGTGTAGAGGCTGTAATTAGATGCTGCTTTGCTTGGACTGTCAAAGTGTTTGTGGATGAAAAATACAGTAGGTTTTTGCTGTGTATGTATTTTTTCTAATTGGCTGTACTGACATTAATTATATTTTAATTATCTCACATGAACTGAGCAGAACAATTCACTTATTGTTAAACTGACAACATTTATGTAAAATGCATCAAGCAAGATTGGATAAATACCTGAAAACTAATGTTAACCTTTTAAGCCAGAAATGGTTAATAATTTTGAATCTT